TTCTTATCCCCGATCGACACGACTGGACTGCAGATTCGGGACGCCAAACGGGACTCGAATCCGGGCTCTGTCATCTTCACTTTCGACATGCTCTGCAGTGCCACGTCTGCCAACGGGTCACGGGACAGAAGCGACTTCGAAGACATTTACTTTCGGGAGCAGTCGTCCTGCCAGCTACACTCTAAAGTCCCGGAGAGGAGGGGTTTTGCCCAACCATTCCTCCAAGCTACGACTTAATAACTTGGTCCCCTTGGGTGGCTTGAAACGGGGTCTGGACTGGTAGATAAGTTTCGATCTCACACTCTACGTGAGTAGACCCTACGGCACCATTTAGCTTCACTTGACCTTGCCGCTCAAGAGCTATTATGGACTGAATTTTCGACTTTGCCTGAACTAAGTCCACTAGCACCCCCTACAGAAGTCAAACCCGATTTGGGCATCTTTTCTTTTTTAACACACCGTAAGACTTATTTTTTATTTAGTTTGTAATTATGTCTTTGAGACTGCCAGAAGACCATATATATGAGGTGTACTCACACTCATTCATTTAAAGGGATAAGGAGACTAGTAATTTAATTTACACACAATCATATGAGTGGAAGGTATGAAGACCAAGATGGTGTGGCCTTTTGTGTGGTCGCAGTCTCCTTTCGTTGTATAGAGGTGGTTTGACCTTGTTTTCGCAACATGAAACGCACCTAGTCCGAGGTCCATTGTCTGCATGATCATTTCCAAAGTTGAACCGTGGACTTGGAACATTCCCAAACGTTTCGCCGGCATCGTAGTCGGCATCGTCAGTGAGAATCGCCATCCTAAGCACCACACAGCTACTCGTCCCCAAACGTTTCGCCGGCATCGTAGTCGGCATCGTCAGTGAGTATCGCCATCCTAAGCACCACACAGCTATGCATCGTAGTCGGCATCGTCAGTGAGTATCGCCATCCTAAGCACCATACAGCTACTCGTCAAAGAGACAATGTTGCGAAAACAAGGTCAAACAACCTCCATATGAGTGGACCTTGAGTTTCCATAGCCTTTCTTCCCAAAGGTTCTTCTAATGCAGTCAGGCGTGAACTTACGTTTTGCCCTCGCCTGAACTGGTCTCATCAGCACCCAAACGGAACTCGAACCCGACTCGGGGTGTTGTAGTGTCTCGGCACGTTAACCACCACGTCACACTTTCACGAATGCTTTTGCGCCACAGGACAGATGTGAATGTCATGGAAGTCTATTCCTTCCCCAGCTGAATTTCCGTAATGGACATGTCGACGTAGCAAAGTTATATTTACTATTACAATTGCCATATTACTGGTAGGTTCGAAAACCTACTTACAAACGTAAACAAGTAATGCAGTTGACTGCTATAACAAATTCAACTTTGTTTCTTCGACATTCTCAACACAGAATGCGATATGCTCTTCATTGAAATTCACATCTGCCCTTCGGCATAGTGGTTCACGTGTCGAGATTACACGCTGCACTGTCATGGTTCGAGTCCCGCCAGGGGTGCTGATAAGAAACGGGCGAGGTTGTAACTGCAGTACACTCCAGGCGGGATGAGAGTACCTGTGGGGAAGCAGGGCTGTGTGAAATTCAATGTAAACTTAGGGTCTACTTGTATGATTGTAGTCAAATTCACATTTTAGTCCTGTGCTACCTTACACGAAATAGAATGATTAAAGCCACTAAATCTGCTTTCTTCTTTTAATCGCCTTTCTCTGAATGAGCATAATTCTTCCCTCGTTGTCATTTATACTCCCGCCGGCATCATCTCTCTCTCTCTCTATCTATATATATATATATCATACACACATATTCATAGATAAACGCACCGAGACTCAATGTTTCTCTTGATTTTCGTCTTTTCCAGATGTTTCAGCAGTTCTCAAGACCAGGGCCGCATAATCCAAGTCGAGGTTGTCAGCTCGTGTTCCGCCCAACAGTTGTACGCCTGTCGGGACGGAGAGTGCCAGTCGAGGGACGCCTTTTGTGATGGGCTTCAAGACTGCACCGATGGCTCGGACGAGTCTGCCGACTTTTGTCGTAGGTCCATTCTGTAGAAAATTCTTCAAATTTGTCTCATCTTTCTTGGGTGCCTCTTTTCAGGCGGCGAACGAATACGGGACTCGCAGGCTCGAAGTGTGTATGCATACACATGTATAGGTGTGTGTGTGTGTATGTGTGTGTTAATGGGTGGGATGGGCG